ACTAAACTAGTCCCACCTGCCTGCTGTTGGCCCATATCCCTCTAAACCTTTTCCTATTCATGTAGTTATCCAAATGTCTTTTAAACATTGTAATTGAAGCCGTATCCACCACTTCCTCAGGAAGTTCAGTCCACATGTGAACCTCCCTCTCTGTGAAAGAAGATTTGCCTTTTGTCTTTTTTTTTAAAATCTCTCATAGATCATAGAATTCCTACGATGCGGGTAGAGGCCATTCAGCTCATGAGTCTGCACTGACCCTCAGCATCCCAGACCACCTTTACCCCCTGCACCCTATCCCTGTAACTCCACATTTACCATGTCTACTCCACCTAGCCTACACACTAGGCATGACTAATCCACCTAAATAGACATGTTTTGACTGGAGGAAACTAGAGCACTAGGCAGAAGCCCACACAAACACAGTCACCCAAGGCTGGAATCGAACCCAGCTCCTTGACGCTGTGAGGCACAATACAATACTAATTGTTAACAATACAGTAGATTTGGAAATGTGATGGCTGTTTTTCATTAGATTGTGAATCTCCTACATTAAAAAGTTGTGAAGAGACAAGGCAGACAAAAGGTTCCAGTAACTTGAGAGATCTAGAACACAATGAATAAAAATTAAATGAGATCTGTGAAAGAGCATAAAAGGCCAACCTTTGGGGTTGAAGCTATGGCTTTTCTGGAGAGTTGGTTGTATTTAAGCATTTAAATTTGTATGTAGTGCAGAAAAGTCATAGCATAGTATGCATCTTCTCTAACATAGCAAAACATTTCAAGACATTAACAGTATTACCATCAGCTTTTTTTTTACAAAGTCTCAATATTAGAACAAATGACCAAAAACCTGCTTGGAGGCAGGTTTTAAGGATCAAAAGTTTAGAGAGGGGCTTCCAAAACTTTGTGTTGCTGACTGACCAATTTTGGGTTTTTTCTTATCAAAATTTGATGCCAGGTTGTCATGACTTAAAGCTCATGTAGCTCTTTCATGCATCTGGGACTGGATGGGGTGAACAAGTATGGGTGAATGACCAGTGATCTAAGGTAGTAAAATTTTGGATATGCATAAGTTTATATAAAGTGATAAATGGGAAGCTCAAGGAAACATTAGAATATTAACAGAAAAGGGCATCATAAAGCTCACGAATGACCAAATGAATGCACAGGTTTCACGTAAGTGTTTAAATGATTCATGCTGAGTTATTTTAAGCATTACCCACTGATATCATCTGGACTGGTGAAGAGAACAGCTTAGAATCTTGAAATTAGACTTATCATCTGAATCTTCGTTAGTCTCTGGCAATATCTAGCATATCAGTGCAAATTGTGAATAGCTGCTATCATACAATAAACTACGTCTTGTTTAACACTAAAGCTTGTCACTAGAATACCAAGTGGTTTTCCATTATCACACCTAGCAGACCTTGTAGTCTGTACCCTGAAATAGAATCAAGGTATCAATTCTATCTTCCAAGGGTAATCGAGAGATCCTACAAAATAAATAGTCTTATGCATTGCTGATACAGGATGGTGACAAACTGTTTAGATTCCATTTTGCTGCCTCTTGTAATACTGACAGTGCTGGAGGCATTTTAGGAAGACAGCACAACAAGATGACTTGAAAGAAATTAAGTCAGTGGTTGATGAGAGTTTAGCTAAATTATGTAATGACATTTTTGTGAAACCTGATCTCAATGTTGGATTCTAGCAGGTGCCGTTGCTTATCACCTTTGTAGCTCCCTTTTTCTTTCAGGGAGTTTTGTTCAACCGACTGCCAGTTGGAGTTGCCTTGGTCCACTGAAAAATCTCTTGGGCTATATCCAACACTTTACAAGACCTTTCAAGGCATTATATGCCTCATGAATGATATGTTGAAACATGGTAAACTGGTTGCAGAGCATGAATAGTGGATGTGAGCAATTTCAAATTATATAATGGTGTTAACATTTTTGGAAAGGTTAATGCTAAGGTGTTCTTGAAGCACGAGCTACAATGATAGCATATGGAAGTGGTATTGGAAGAGAACTGGTAAATCACTTTACTCCATTTTAAAAGTTAAAATTTAGAAGTCTGGTGAAAAGGTAAATAAGGTAGCTGGCTGACTGATAACTGCATCTCAATCACCTGAAGTCTAAATAAGGCCTAAATAGGTGGTGTTTGTTATTCCGGCTTAACCAGCAAGTTGTTTCAGCTGACCTTGGCTTTATTTAAGGGGAGCCTATTGAAAGCGCAAAGGCTAGTAAGCTGTGCATAGTCAAGAAGGAGTGAGCACATAGAGTGAAACCCAGCCCCAGTGCATATATAAATTGGGTAATTTGGAGGCAATGTAGGAATTTGATGCAGAGGGGAAGAGGAGTTTTTTTTGCTTGCTGCTTTTTCGGCTCACGTTTTGTAAGGGCTTTTTAAACAGGATAAACTGAAGCCCAGGATCAAGGGCCAAGCACAAAAGAGTGATATCACAAGTCACAAGTTCATTGGTGATTACTGATTTGAGTATCTATAATAAATTAGTAGCAATTTTAAGAGATTCTCAGGGTAATTCTGGATGCACAGCAGAAATTCATCCCAACGAAGAAGCAGCATTCTAGGGGAGGGATAAGGCACCTGTGGCTGAGATCAGGGACAGCATAAAAGCAAAAGCATGCAATGTGATGAAATTACGGGGAACCCTTTTAAGAGTCAGCAGAGGATAATTAAGAAAGCAAGAAGGAAGAAAAAGATGAAATATGACAGTAAGCTAGCTAGTAATATAAAAAGATTGAGGCTTAGATATATAAAAGGTAAGAGTGTTCTTTGCTCTGCAGGAAATGAAGCTGGAGTAGTAATGGGGAACAAAGAATTCATGGAGGAACTGAATGGATAGGATACTTTGTGTCAGTTTTCAGTGGAAGACACTGACAGCATACCAGAAGATCCAAAAAGTCCAGAGCAGAGGCGAGCAAGGTGGCCATCACTAAGAAGAAAGTGCTGGGGAAATTGCAAAGTATGAAGGGAATAAATCACCTAGACTGGATGGGCTACACCCCAGAAGTCTGAAGGGTTTACTTGAGGAGATTGTGGAAGCATTGGTGACCTTTCACTAATTGCTGGAGTCAGGTGGGCCCTAGAGAACTGGAAAATAGCTAACGTAACACTCCCTTTTTTTTTTCTGAAAAGGAGGCCGGGAAGAGGAAACTATATATGCCTGTCAGCCTGACTTTGGTCATTGGTAAGATTTTAAAGTCAACTATTGAGAATTAGATTATGGAGTACTTGGCAGTGCATGGTAAAATAGGGCTGAGTCAGCATTGCTCCTTCAAGGCGAGGTTACGCCTGACAAATCTGTTAGAATTTTTGAGCAAGTTAGACCAAGGCGAGCCAGAGTACATGATCTACTTGGATTTCCAGAAGGCCTTTGACAAGGTATCAATGCAGGCTGCTAACTAAGGTGAGCTTATGATGTTAGGGGCAGAATGAAAAGCATGGAAAGAGGATTAACTAACTGGTAAAAGGCAGTGTGTTTGGTGAAAGAGTCCTTTTTTTAGGCTGGCAGCTGCTGACTGGTGGAGTTCCACAGGGGTCAGTGTTGGGACCACCACTATGCATTTTGTACGCTTAATGTTCTGGATAAAGAACCGAGGGCATTGTTGAGAATTTTGCAGATACGTGGAGGGACGGGTGGTGGCGGAGGCTGCAGTAGGGCTTCGACAGGCTAGGAGAGTGGGCAAAGAAATGGTAGATGGCATACGATGTGGGAAAGTATGAGGTTATGCACTTTAGTAGGAAGAATAGAGGCACAGTCCGTCTTCTAAATGGAAGGGATTCCGAAGCAAAAGGACTAGTTCAGGGTTCTGTTAAAGTTAGCATGCTGGTTTACTTGGTAGTTAGTGAGGCAAATGCAATGCTAACACTTATTTTGAGAGATGTACTGCTGAGGGTGTGCAAGGTTCTGGTCAGACCACACTTGGAATGTTGAGCAGTTTGGGTCCTGAATCAAAGGAAAGATGTGCTGTGATCGCCAGAGGGGATCTGGAGGAGGTTTACAAGAATGATCCTGGGGAGGAAGGGCTTGTCACGTCTGGAATCTGGGCCTGTGTTCCATGAAGTTTGTAAGGATGAGGGGGATCTGATTGAAACTTGTAGTACACTGATGGGCTTGGATAGAGTGGATGTAGAGAAGATGTTTCTACTAGTAGGAAAGACCAGGACCTGTGGGTATAGCCGGAGTGAAGGGACAACCCGATGGAGGCCAAGTAGCTGAGTGTGTTTAAGACAGATTGAAAGGTTCTTGATTTAGGAGGTTCAAGGGTTATGGTGAGAAGGCAGGAGAGTGGGGTTGAGAAACGTATCAGCCATGATTAAATGATGGAACAGACTTGAGCCAAATGGCCCAATTCTGCTCCTATATTTTGTGGTTTTATGGTCTTTCCAGTATTCAATTAAAGGAACCTTCCTTCATCCAGTAATGGATATTATGCAGGCAATGTAGCAAATCTGACTCTGGAAGGGTGGAATCTTGTCTTCAGATGATATCACAGAGGAGCAGCATGTAGATGACTTTAAAGGCATTTAAAGTAGTAAAGAATCTCTACAATTAAACTTTAGATATTACTATGTCATTCGGAAGAGATCTCCGTATAGTCTTGGAGTGGTTCCTATATGTTGAAATACAACACTTGATTTAAAATAATAATTTGCAGTGGTCACTGGAGTACACTTTGGAGGAAATGTCTGATTTACTCATGGGTACAATTGGAAGGTTCTTGATACGTTACAATACCTCCTATCAATAACTAACTAATTTTAAATTTTGATAAATCTGATCTTTAGAAGAAGTTATAATTTTATGGAAGTGGTCTGTTATAGCTTCTACTACACCTTTTTAAAGTTTGACTCTTTTTAGTGCAGGTATTGTTTTCCTCTTCTATATATTCAAGAAAAGTGCTGATCTTCCAAACAGACAGGCTATATGGCTTCCTTCAGTACTTTGTTTTATTTTTTCCCATTTTGTCTTTCAGAATAGTCACTCGATGGGGAGCAACAGAGGACCCCTTTGTGTCGCCTTCCCAACTGTATGCTGCAAAGGAAGCATTTCTTCTATAATGAAACTAGTATTAACTGAATGGAAATTAATATGGATTTTTAGTAGACAATAAATAAGCCATAATCCAAAGTTTTTACCAATTAGCTTTCTTTTGGTACATGGTTTTTCGCATACGTTTGAAGGAAATTGCAGAAGAAAAGTGCTAAACCTATATACAAAAAACCGAAGCCACCTTTTCACTCCAACAAAAGCACAAGTACATTTTTTTTGTGGCAGCAATGGCTCCACAGAACGAAGACACAGAATCTATGCAAACACAAGAACTATCCACAAAATTGAAAAAGAAAAGAAATGGAAAAGAGAATGGTGATGAAACAGTTAGTGAGGAGTCCATTGATCGCATTCCTGTCAAATTATGGGTGATGCATGGTGCAGTGATGTTTGGCAGGGAGTTCTGTTATGCTATGGAAACTGCCTTGGTAACACCAGTATTGTTGCAGATAGGTGAGTGCTAAGAATACTACACTAGAATACTACAAAATGCCACTGCAAACTTTTTTTTCTATAGTCCAATCGGGTATAAAGACCAAAATATTGGGAATAATTTGTATTCCCGTTGAGTTATTTACCCATGCACTGTCTATTTACATTCATATGAATTGCAGTTTTATTTTATTAGAACAATTGTGTTGTTAATGCAGTAATTATCTGCAGTTTTACTAGATCACATTTTAGAAATTCATTTTACATCTGAATAACCTAAAGAGGGTGGTGAGAGTCTGGAACTACTTGCCTGAATGGATTGTTGAGTGAGGAAACAATCACAACATTCAAACAACATTTAGATATTCACTTCACCCCTTTGGGGCTGTTGACCAAAAGCTGAAAAATGGGATTAATTTAATTACTGTAGTCAATCTTTGTTAACTGGCACAGACACGAAGGGCCGCTGCCTCTGCTCTAAGCAGCACAATCTGGGAATAAGAACATGAAAATTTAAAAGAACTTCCACATGATATTTTATTTGTTCTGTCTTGTAGTGGAATTTATACCAACAGGATTGTTGGTGTTTGGAGATTCTAACCAGTGTAATATCGCTATTCGAAACATAGAACTGTGCCTTTTTCCCTTGCTGCATACATTTTAGCCAAATGTGATTTCCAGTTCTTGATGAATAGCTAATCTCTAAATTCCACAAATGATGACTGAAATGATAATTAAGCAGAAAGTTATTGGGCTAATCTAATTCCAATATCTTCAATGTGGTGTTTATTAATTAACGCCTGTCAGTATATTGAATAATTTAGTGTGTATTAGAGGTTTGACTGTTTTATCCTATAATATTTATAACCATTAGTAAACTAGTAAGTAATTGAAAAGTGTGATCTAAACTTAGTATGAACATCAAGCTCCTGTCAAATGCCCTCCAGGTTTAGGTGCTGCTGCAAGTTTTTATCACCTTTTTTTTTTGTTACCAGCAATTGTCCAAATGCATCTTAAATAGAATTGTTTTAGCAAAATAACAGTTGCAGTTGCTGCCTTTGACTTTAATATTCAAAATCCTCTTCAGTACTAAAAGAATCGACAAATATTTCCTCTTATACTCACCCACCACAAATAAGAATGCTAAATTTCAAGCTCCTACAACTTTATACCAGAGGAGGAAAGTGTACTCGTTGGTTGGTTGGTAAGTCAAATCTGCCTGAGCTGTTGCCAATAGGAACGTATGGGTTTCTAATGGTCCTGGATAATTCAGTAAGTTGCAAAGCAAGAACCTATTAGTATTGTGATTTAAAAAGTTTCATCTAATTAGTTCACCAGTAACAAATTTTCTGGTGGAATTCACTTGCAATTTGATTCTAATTACTTGTCTGCTTACTTTTGCTGTCTTTAACATTCTCATTTTTTTGCCCTTGAAGCTAGCTAGCTTGTTTAGCCACAAAGCATGTGATAATACTCAGTTATGACAAGTGTCACCACTCCTTTTTTTAAAAAAAGGAAAAGCTGTTCCTCATATTCCGCTTGGGAACCCTGCAGCCCAATGGTATCAATGTGGATTTCACAAGCTTCAAAATCTCCCCTCCCCCTACCGCATCCCAAAACCAGTCCAGCTCGTCCCCGCCTCCCTAACCTGTTCTTCCTCCCACCTCAAGCCACACCCCCATCTCCTACCTACTAACCTCATCCCGCCCCCTTGACCTGTCTGGTCCTCCCTGGACTGACCTATCTCTTCCCTTCCTCCCTACCTCCCCACCTCCCCACCTACACTCACCTTTTACTGGCTCCATCCCCGCCTCTTTGACTTGTCTGTCTCCTCTCCACCTATCTTCTCCTCTATCCATCTTCTATCCGCCTCCCCCTCTCTCCCTATTTATTTCAGAACCCCCTTCCCCTTCCCCATTTCTGAAGAAGGGTCTAGGCCTGAAACGTCAGCCTTCCTGCTCCTCTGCTGCTTGGCCTGCTGTGTTCATCCAGCTGTACACCTTGTTATCTCGGATTCTCCAGCATCTGCAGTTCCTACTATCTCATTAATTTACTGACTGGTTAACTGCTATGATGTAACATTTCATAGTCTTTCCAGAATACCATAATGAAACCACCCATATCCATTTTCTAATCTTCCATCCTTCTAGATGGATAAGGGCAGCAAACATGTGGGAATGCCACCATCTGGGTTACGTTAAGCCACTTACCATCCTGACTAAGGGCTAGATCACCACTTCACTGAATTACAATCCCTGAACTAAGGTGCTCAAAATAAATGGACCTGGTAGTTAAACAATGAACAAAATTTTTTAAAGGCCGTATATAGAATTAGAGTACGGAAGAGGTCCTTTAGCACATTGAGTCCGTACTGTCAAAAATAAATTTCTACATGCACTAGTCCCACTTTCCCTGCACTAGGGCCATAGCCTTGAATTTTTTATGACACTTCAAGTGATCATCCAAATACTCTTTTTAAAAAGGTTGAGGTTTCTGCCTGCTCAGGCTGTGCATTCCTGACGCCCACCACCCTCTGGGTGAAAGATTTTCCTCAAATCCCTTCTTAAACCTCCTACCTTTCACTTTTTTAAATTATGCCTCATTTATTACTGACCCCTTCAGCTAGGGGAACAGCTGCTTTTCTATAAGGTTCCCCCTCACCATTCTTTGCTCCAAAGTAAACCTGAGCCAATCCAGCCTCCCTTCATAGTTGGAGTGCTCCATTCCAGGCAACATCCTGGTGGATTTCCTTTGAAGAGTGTGGATCTGGGTGGGATGCCCTCTATGGAGGGTTGATGTGGATTCGATGGCCTGCTTCCACACTGCACACTATGATTCGTATCCTCTCCATCCCCTAAGCCCAACCCCAAATGCATTCTCCACTACATCATATGAATTTTGCAAACAGTAAGGGACCTTGCATGGTCCCTGTAGTACACTACTGCACATATGGCTCCAGTCATACAAGCAGCCTTTTACTAGCACCTGGTCTCAAGTGAGTTTTGGCCCCAATTACCACAAGCAACTTCTTTCAGTTTCCCATACAGGGCCTCGCGAAAGACATTGCTGAAATCCATATAAATTACGTTGACCCTCATTAAACACTTGGTCACCTCCTCTCAAAATTCCATCAGATTTGTTAGGCATGACCTCCCTCTGACACTGCCCCATTGACTATCTCTGATCAAACCTTTCAAACCCTGCTTCTTTAAATGGAGATTCATTTTCTTCTTCGCTTCTTTTCCAATAGTTTCCCTACCAATGATGTTAAACCAGGGAACTAGACACCAATGAGTCTACCTATAGCACCCATGTAAAGTGAAACCAAATTAACTACCCTCCAATCCTGTGGCAATTCACCTATGCCCAGAGCCCATTTTTAAAAAAAAAAAATAATGTCAGGCCCCTGTAATTTCCTTGGGTAAGGGGTCCAAAATGGTCAATCTGTGTTCTGGCTAGTGCCTTGTATACTTCGAGCAAAACCTCCTACTTTTATAGTCAATTCTCATTGAAAGCAAGTCCAGCATTCCATTTTGCCTTCCCTTTTTACCTGCTGAATTTGAATGTTACCTTGCGGTTAATCTCTTCTGCCTCCACACTGTTCCAGAGCTTCCTGTTTTGTTCCTCAATCTCTGGAGTGTTTTGTTGATTTTTGTTTTTAAATAACTGATGCCAGTTTTGGAGATGGATCGTAGTGGAGCATGTCCTATATCTTCATTTGAGTACATTGGGCTCCTTCAGTCACGCGTACTAGGCAATCTTTGAACAGTTGTTCAATTTTGAAAAATGGAGATGTAATCTCTGCAAACAGTAAATCAATGGGAAAGGGAGAGAAAATTCAAAATATTTAGAGTAAACAGATTAAATTTAACGTAGAAAACTGTTTCCAGTTAGTGCTGTTTGTTTTATACCATGTTATATATCACACTAACAGGTGAATTCATGTGTTTCCCGTTCGGGTTATTAATTGCATGAAAAGCTAGTAGTAATGAACGATCTACCTGCCATTAGTCTGGGAGCCAACAGGAAAGCGAACTTTCTTGTGGCCAAAGGAAATTGCGTCAGTGTAGATGGCTGGAGTTGACTTCTGTAATGAGTAGGCTGTCAAACCATTTGAGATCCAGTCATTCTCTGAGCTGGAGCAACACAATAAGTGTTTTCCTGCAGCATGGAATTTATGCAGATATTATTGTTTTCAATCAGCAAACTGATGCTCAATACCGTCATTTTATCCTGTGTAGTGTTGTGAGAAAGGCTATTTCGACTAAATCCCACTGCTTTCCTGGTGTAGTACAAGATTAGACTTTCCCTTTGATTTTGTGATATTTTGAATGCTCCTTTTCCATCAAATTATTGTGCACAGTTTAGGTGGAGGATTTTCAGGAGATAGGTTTATTTTAAACTGCTGCTTTAATAGCTTGAATGTACTTGTTTTTACAAGTTCAACTTTTGCTCCAAAGGGGGGTGGGGGGAAGAAGCCCTATAGGCAACCACAAGCTTGTGAATAAGCAGTGTTGCATAACAGCATTGCAATAATATTTTCATTCCTTCAGTTCAGTTCCTCAGAAATTTAAGATTTAATATGAATAAAAATAAGCTGCTGGAAAACTCCAACAGGTCTGGTAGCATCTGTGGCATAACTATATCTTACAAGTATGCTTTCATGTACAATTTGCTATTCATAGCATTTTTTCACTGCAATTTTGTTTTCAAAGTCAGTCAGCAATTGATTAGACAAAATATTTGTTCCGAGTCCGTGTTGACTGTGATTTGGTAAGTGGTTATGCTACTAATTGCATTCTCCAAAGTAGGAATTTTAGCCTGTAGAACTGAGAAGCAAAGTAAGTAGTGATCCATATAAATGGAAAATTGGGAAAAGGTTATATGACAGCAGAGATGAGATGATGAGTAGAACATAATACAAAATGTGTGAAGGTACAAAATGCATGAATCACTGAAAGAAAAAAAACCTGTCAAACTTGTTATAGAATCCAGCAGTCTTTAAAACTGTGCCAGCTGATCACTAGCATAAAAGTGCTGTAAGGGAGGGTTTCCAGATGAAGTCTTTCTCCAAACTTTTCAATCTATCACAACCAGAATCGGCCATATACTTCCTGCATTGCCAACATCTATTGTCATTGAAGGAAATTGGTACTAAAGTTGAATTTTGAAATTATTAGTCAATTATTAAGGCCAGACTTCAACCTCAACTCTAGTGCTATTAAAGTGTGGATTCTCGTGGGAAGCTTCACTGTGACTTGGGGAATAATAAAAATATTTACTTCAAATTTAGCTCATATCTCTAAGTTTATTTGCACTTACGAACTATCTCCTGAAGATTCTCATCTTTTCTTACAGGTCTTCCAGAACAGTACTACAGTCTTACCTGGTTCCTTAGCCCAATCCTGGGATTGATCTTCACTCCTCTGATCGGTTCTGCAAGTGACCGCTGCACTTTGACCTGGGGCCGCCGACGACCTTTCATTCTGGCCCTTTGTATTGGAGTCCTGTTTGGGGTTGCCCTGTTCTTAAATGGATCCCTCCTAGGTAAAGATGGAATTTTGCATTTAGTTGAAATATTTTGTTTCCCAGCTTGGCCTGTGGCTTGGAGGGGAACTTGTCATTGGTTTTCCCATGTATCTGCAGCCCTTTCCTTTCCAGGTGGTAGAGGTTGAGGGTCGGGAGATGCTGCTGAAGGAGCCTTGGTGAGTTGTTGCAGTGACAGCAATATGCAAGGTGCACTGTATCAGTTGTGAAGGAATGAATTTTCAAATCGATGAAAGGGACATTGAGTATATATGTCACTGAACGTGGTGCAATCAATAGCAAACATACCTAATTCTGACCTTTAGGGTTTTCTAATCAACTTGTTCAGAGATGTTATGACGCACCTCTGGAACAGGTGTGGCTTGAATCTGGGCCTCCTAGGATACTACCACTGAACCGTAAGACCCTAATTCTGACAATATTTTGTGAACATACTGTGGGCAAGTTTCAACTACAAATTTGACCTTTATGCCTACTTTCAAATACAGTGCTGCAATGAGTTGATTTTGGTCTCACCTCTAACACAGTTGGTGGGTTCTAGATCCACTTCAGAGTCTTGAGCAAGGAATCAAGATATGGGTAATCACCCTGTTCAGACTTTTTGGGGCATACCTTTGGAGCAAGTGAGACTTGAACTGGACCTCATGACCTAGGCATAAGGATATTACCTGCTGCGTTGAGCCCCTAAAGCAATCACAACAAGAAATGAAATGTTTTCTGATCAACCTAATCAGAAATGTTATAAAACAACTGAAGCAGGTAGGAATGGAACCTGGGCCTCCAGGTCCAGAGGCAGGGACACTACCACTGTGCCAAAGAGCCCTAAATTTTGACGTTATGGGTATTTCTAATGTTTCACTCTAGATCAGCCTGTTCAGAGACATTATTACTGCTGGAGCAGCTAGGACTTGAACTCAAGCCTCCTGGCTCAGAGTAGGTTTATTATCACTGTGCCATGAGCCCTAAATTCTGACATTGTGATTTTTTTTTTTAATCAAACTGTTTAGTGATCTTATGTCATACTTTTGGAATAGGTGAGACTTTCAGGCTCAAAAGTAAGGAAATTACCACTGTGCTGCAGGAGCTCTAAATTCTGGCCTAATTATATTTTTTATTTAACTTCTCTTTCTAATCACCCTGTTCAGAGATGTTATTACACACCTCTGCAGCAGGTGGGACTTGAACCCAGGCACCTCAGTCCAGGGGTGTCGACACTACCACTTGAACCACAAGTGCCCTTCATTCTGACCTTAGATTCAAAAAGGAACATGTTCCTAATCAACCTGCTCAGCTGTTATTACGCACCTCTGGAGCAGGTGGGTCTTGAACCTGGGACTCTTGGTTCAAGGGTAGGGTCTCTACACTTCGCCTCAAGAAGGCTACCTTAAGTATTGAAGGTCATTTGATGCAGCTGAAGGTAGTTGGGCCTAGGATTGTTATAGTGATGGCCAGGAGGCATGGGTTCAAAGCTCACCTGCTCCAGAGTTGTGTAATAACATCTCTGAACAGGTTTATTAGAAAATATCCTGCAGTGATGGCCTAGGGCTGGGAAAATCTGGCTTGCAACAAGTACAGCCATCTTACTTTGTGCTTGGTATGACTTCACCCAATGGAGAGGTTTGACCCTTAATCCCACTGGCTTCAATTTTCACAGAACTCCTTGATTTTGTACTTGGTCAAATGCTACCTTTTGATGTCAAGGCAGTCACTCTTATTTTGCCTCGGGCATTCCAATTCCTTTTTTTTTTGCCTTGCGAGTTTGGACCAAATTTGTGCCAAGTCTATGAACTTAGGGAGTGTCCCTAGCAGTACCAAACTTGAATGTCCATTGAGCAAGTTATTGCTACGTAACTACTACTTGATGTCATTGTTTAATGGCACTTGATGATTGGCTGGATTGGATTTGTCCAAGTTTCTAATATTGGATATATCTGGAAGAATCCAAAACTAGGACCTGTAAATAGAAGGTAACTGCTAATAAAACCAACTAGAAATGAGAAATGTCGTTACAGGCACTTAGAATGTGGAACTCGCTACTACAGGAAATAGTTGAAGTAAATGGTTTGGCTGCTTTTAAAAGGAATCTAAATAATTAGATGAGAGAAAAGGATACAAAGATTTGCTAAAAGACTGATGTAGATGGAATGGGAGGAGACTTTTATGAAGTATAAACGCTAGCAGACTAGTTGAGCCAAATGGTGTTTTCTATTCTATAAAAATTGCAAGTATCTTTTTTAAGCAGTAAATTAATCTATGAAAGGTTGTCATAAATATTAATACTTTGTTATAAATGTGAACAAGAATTTCTAGAAGTTGTACATCCTCCCATACTTCAGTTTCTTCAGTTAAATCATTTTAAAGTTTCAGAAAAATGACTGTGAACCACAAAATTCAAAAGTAATAAATTGATAATTTAAATGAATAATTAATAGCAATTGCTTAGTACCAAGTGGCAAAGCCTAAAAACTCATTTGCCTTTTGCTTTAGAAGGACAGCTAGACAGAAGAAAAATCAGCCAAATTTATGATTTATAACTAAAGCTTTGGGTTTAGCTGACCTTGGGTTATCGTGAACTGGCTTTGGTGGATTCTCATGGAAGTGTGGGTTAAAAGTGAGACAACAAGGTGCAGAGCTGGATGAACACAGCAGGCCAAGCAGCATCATCGGAGCAAAAAGGTTGATGTTTTGGGCCTAGACCCTTCATCAGAAATGGGGGAGGGGAAGGGGGTTCTGAAATAAATAGGGAGAGAGGGGGAGGTGGATAGAAGAGGGATAGAGGAGAAGATAGGTGGAGAGGAAACAGACAGGTCGAAGAAGAGGGGATGGGGCCAGTAAAGGTGAGTGTAGGTGGGGAGTTAGGGAGGGGATAGGTCAGTCCAGGGAGGACGGACAGGTCAAGGGGGCGGGATGAGGTTAGTAGGTAGTAAGTTGTTTGTTTTTTCAGTTTGCGGTTTCTTCCTGTTTCAGCAAATTATCCCTCCCTATCCTCTCCCACTGTCTCTCATTACTCCTTTCCTTTCCTTTTCCTTTCCTTTCTCTTTTCTTTTTCTTTTTTCTTTTCTTTTCTTTTCTTTTCTCCTTTTTTCTTTTTCTTTTCCACTTTCTCCTCCTCCCTACTCCTTTTTTCCTCTACTACATATTGCTATGTTGCGTCTCACAAACCCCTTTAGCCCCACCCCCCCCTTGCTGTTTATCCTCCCCCCTCCAACTGCTGCCACCTCACTGTCGTTCTCTGAACCCTTTAACTTCAAGAGAGTAACTTGTGGGGTTTGGCTTTGCACTAAAGTTTCCATCAACATTCTGAAGCGACACTCCCTTGCTAACAGGTATGAATACCCACATAGGAAGTCCTGTGTCTCTGGCCATAGGTCCTATGGGTCCTACATGCGATCCTCTGACCACACATTTGGTAGTGCTTCCAGAAGGTGGAATTGGACCTCCTTCTGAATGAGGGTTTCCCAAGAATCGACAAGTTGAATTTCTTGAATTCTTCAGGGAGTCTTTGAAACACTTCCTTTGTCGTCTTCTCTATCAAGTGCCTTCTTCAGCTGGATGAAGATTTGCTTTGGCAGTCAAAACTCCTAAGCTGGTCGCTGGTTGTCAGCACTATTACTCCCCACCAATGTTCCTTATAAGCTGCATAGTTGAGGACATCAATCAGTTTGACAAATGGCTGATGAAATTCACTGCTGTGCAACCAAAAAAAAAACTTTGCATTGAAATGAAAATGGCTGATTTTATTTTTCTCGCAAGACCTAAAATGCAGTTTGGTAAAAGGCAATTTAATTTTTAAAAATGAATTCTTCTCAGCAGCAGTTCCTTTTTTTGCCATGCGCACAAAGTACGGAGTTCAAACTGAGCATATCCCTTGAACTCTAATTGGCCTACCCATTCGTCCTGACTACACATCGGCCCTAGTGTTCTTTTTCAGTCTCTCTCTTCCTCAAATTTCTTTCCTCTTTCTTGCTTTTTCTCTCTCCCTCCCACTTTTTTTTTTTTTATGCTTGCTTGTTTTCACACTCTCACACTCTCTCTTTTGAATGAGTTCTAAATTTGTACACCACTAAAGCAGAAATGTTCTATGAGGTCTGTAATGCAAAGGTTCAGCATCCCTAATTCAGAAATAATCCTCTGGTAATCTGAATACTATCAAGTCAGTCTAGACAGCTGTACATGCTAATAGTTTTAAGTCAACTAAGTTTGATCATTGAGAATTGCTATGAATTTTTACACTAGTAAATGATTGGATCTAGATGCATGCATCCTTTTGATATCCTCATCATTCCTTCACGCATAAGGGAAGCACCATCTTTTCCTAATAAGTGTTCTTGTATCTTATCACAACCCCGGTTTTAAAACCTTACTCAGATCCACAATAAAGTATTTTCATTTTTTATTGGAAGCCTGTTTTGCCTTCAGATTGGAGCTTAATGCAAAAATTTCCAATCCAAAATGAAATAAGGAATTGCATTGCTGGCTACTCTACAGAAAGTCCCAAGCATCTACTCCCATAGCGACTAATGGAGCAACTCAAAACACTAAATTTCCGCAGAGGAAATGAGTTGAAGTACTTAAGATATCAGTAACATGCTAATTTCTGAAGTGGAAACAAGCTTTCCTACACCATACAATGAGTTGTGGTTAGTTTCATTAAAAAACAATGCATTTTTTGAAAAACTTTGTCTAGTTGGTCATTTTCAATTTGATTCATTCACATGGTTTGGGAATTCCATAAATCCAACTTCTTTCACATGAGAAAAATGGTAGGAAGCAATTCATAAGAAATGTTTCCTGTTGTTTTCCTCTTTAATAAAAGAATTCTCAAGCAGTTGTCAGAGGAGTATAAGTCCACATCCTTTATTATTGGAACACTTTGCTCATATCAGACTCAAATCTTTAAAGCACCTCCTGTTATGGTCTTCAGAAGAAACAACTAATTTTTTTTAAACCAGTAAACATTCCTTCATGTGCAAGAACACTCAAGGGCAAGCATTTTTCATGTCTGTCCGTAATAAGATGAAATATGCATTTATTGCTCTTGCAATGGATTAGAATTGTTTTCCTCATTTTAGGAATTGGTCCCAATGTGACTGGCACTAAAGTTCTGATTATTGCAAGAGCAATAAATGCATATTTCATCTTATTACGGAAATTTATGTGTAGCTTGCATTTACATTTTGTCATCTTAGTTCTAAAAAATCAGTGGTTCGCTAAACAAGATTTCGGCAAATCTAGTTATAAAGCAGAAAGCGACAACCACCCCCATCTTCCTCCCTCGCTGCCTCCTCCCCCCCACCCCCCGGCCGGCATGTATACACACGTGCGCACAACGAAAACCACAACACCCAGAGAAGTGTGCCTCACTCTATAATTTAAGAGCCCCCAATCAGTTATACAGATGTGGTTTAAATAAAAATAAACCCCGGAATGTTCTGGGTCTTCTCTGAATTCTTCTGTCAGGAATGCCGCCTTGGTGAATCCTTCTGTTAGTATTGCCTACTCTGTCAAATGTTTTTGTCAGGACCATTAACTATTTGTGCCATAGGTACCTTTTTTAAATTTAGATGGCGCTTACTCTAAGGTTTAGAGAATTGAGAGCCAGTGGTTCTTTCATTTAGAGCTGAGAATTGTTCTCTTGGCAGATGACAGCTGGATATCCCCTGATTTTTCCAAATGCCTTCATCTTTTGTACCCTTGATGTATCAATTTCTTACAATAGGATTGGTCCTATGTTGTCAAAACAATCAGATTTAAATTTAATTTTTTTTGGTATCAAACAGCCTGGCTTAAATTAATTGGCTAAATTCAAAAACCTGTTGTCTTGGTAAAAATGCTGCTTTGCCTGCTAACAGTATAGCCTTTTGATACAAATGTTTCAGTTCAGGTGTTGTGTACATTTGCAAACCCATGGACATCCTTTTTGAATCTCTAAACATAAAGGGACCACATACTACTATCCCCATAGTGTTTTACAAACACCAAATTCTAATGTCCTGCCTTGCAATCCACAAGTACTCTGACCCAAAATATTGCATTTCAAATCTTTAATTCAATATTGTTGGGTAAAGAAATGTTAGACACATGTTAATAAAAAATCCCTAGTCAACCAATTTCTGTTTAAATAATTCATTTCGTATAAATAAGGGACATTCAGCAAATTCTACTTGGTGTGTAAAGGAGCAACAATTCAGGTGCTGTTGATTCAGGTTAACTTGAGCTCTCCAGTGTGAATATTGACTTTTATGGGATGGATAGGTTGGATTTTTACTCATTGGTTTTCAGATGGTTGAGGGGGGTGACCTCTAAGACATGAGGAATTGCTTCTCATGAGAGTAGTGAATCTGAAAGTCTTTAGCGAAGGCGGAGTTCCGAATTGTTTTCAAGGCTGAGATGGGCAGATTTTTGAATTGAAGGTTATGGGAAGAAGGCAGACAAGTGGAATTGTGGATTATCAGATCAGCCATGACTTGACGAGCTGAATGCCATTACCACTACGCCACTGCCCTACTTTTGTTCCTGTGCCTTTTTATGGTTTTGTTTCCAGTTGTTGCCTATTGGCTTCAGAAGAATCCTTAATCTGTAAAACTACTAACTTTAATGAACTTTAAAATATTTTGAAGCAAGGTTCTTTTCTGAATCCAAAATTAGTTGAAACTAATTTGACTAATGAATCTTCATAACACTTAATAGATTTTCAAAAATGTTTACGTTGTGTCTTAATTTAAATAAACTCTAGAATAACTCGACACTAATGGTACGTATTCCGCTTGAACATTTTTAAAAGTTTAGCAATATATTGAGCAATAAATTTATTTGCTAGCCAGTAATCTTTTAGATTATCTAAATATTTTTCTACCGAAACAAGTTTCACTCCTAACAAATTTTACTTTTCAAGACTGTGTTTTCAGATGATCTAGTGGTATTGAAATGTATCCATTTTGGGAAATTGAAAATTGTGTACTAACATTAGTTTGAACACGTGTTTCTGGCAGTCCTGTTTTATTTTTAGCAATTCTGCTCCTCAGGTCTAGCCATTGGAGACATCCCTGACCATCAGCCAATTGGTATAGTCCTGACTGTTATAGGTGTAGTAATATTGGACTTTTGCGCAGATGCAACAGAGGGACCAATCCGAGCTTATTTGCTGGATGTAGCAGACACTGAAGAGCAAGATCTGGCACTCAATATCCATGCTTTTTCTGCAGGTTTGCATTTAGACTTTCTTTTCAAGTTTACCTCTTAAAAAGCAAAGGAGGAATGACTTTTCATAATTTTAATGTGAACTCTGTAATTGATCCACATAGATGCAAAAGTAGTGTGTACAATTAAGTATAAACCATTCTTTCCTGTTCCTTTTGTTAAATACTTATTTTTGAAGGCCAATTTGCTTCAGTTTAACATGTATGAGAAGGCTTTTCTAAAGGAGTTTTGTACTTTATCCCTAAACATTATGTTCAGCATGTATTTTTAATGTAATTTCTAAAAATGGGCAGTTTAACTACATATTACCTTTGGATGTCTGATACTAACCTGATTGTAAGGCAAGAAACACCGGATCGAATTTGCATACAGCAAGTTCCCACAAACAACAGCTTAATAGTGACATGCTATTTTTACTGATGTTGTTTGGGTGGATAGATATTGTCCAAGATTCTGTGAAGAACTTCCCTTTTCTTCATTGCACCAATGCCATGAGATTTCTCATGTCTACTTGAAAAATGCTCCCAACAGTGCAACACCCATTTTGTACTGCATTAGAAAGTGATCCTAGATTTTCTGATCCATCCTTTTTGTGGGACTTGAACCACAACTTGGAAGGATTAAATAAACTTACTTTGAATTTGTTTCTTTGTATTACCCCATGTAATAAATGTTGGCTATTTCAACTGAATTTTGCACTTGGAATATTGTAAATTGTTTCCTTATCCCTCTTTTCTACACTGGATATACTATAAAATGTATGTATATATCCTCTTGTGAAGAGAATCCAAGTTTTCCTGCCTTTTGGTGATACTGATTTCAGCTTTGAACCACGTGTGAAACCACTTATTTTCATGGAACTTCACGTTTTTGTTTTGTATTTCATCTTTTGAAGAAATAGTACAGAAACAGCCAATTCCAAAACTCTAGGTTCAAAAAACTCAAACAGAATATATTAATGTAACAGATATAAATGCAAGCAAAGCCTTAATGTCAGAGGTCACTTATAACATTTGTATCTCCAAGCAAAATGTTGGGATTTTCTTAAGGAATGGAAGAGGAATGCAGGCATGTTAATGGATGAAATAGACTGAAATTCATGGCCAATGGCAGAGGATGTGGAGCACTTGTTGACCCCCAACCAGCTGTACTGTACAACTTAATAGCCATTACTATAGTTATGACATCCTGCAAAAGCATAGGAAGACTGTTGAAGAGTTAGGAATTGGATGCCTGAACTCCAAGAGGGAAATTTAATTGGAGATGTTTACTACTTAACAGATACACAGATTTTCAACATTCAAGACTCTGTAGCCGTATTGATAGACTGCAACATGAATCGTTTGACATGTGCTATTAACCTGGAGACCGATTTTGAGTTTAGAATTTCAATGCAGCTGTTTTTCTCAGGGTGGAACAAAATCTGAAATTGATTGATAGTCTGAATAAATGGAAGCCTGAGCCAATTCAAGAAACAGCTGCCTGTTTCTCAGTGGAAAGATTAATTGATTATGAATATGGTATTTATATTGAAAAATATTGTAATCTGGCCCAAAAAGTACCATATTCAATTATCTTTTCAGGCCCTGGAGATAACAAGGTATGAGCACGATTAGACTCTATAGCCTGTTGAACTTGCTCTGCAGTTTGATAATCATGGCTGAACTTGGATGTCAACTCCGTTTTCCCTAATGCCAAATGTCTTTCCCCTCTTCCAAAAAGATGATTTTAATCACGTTAGGATTTGAGATGATTTTAACTAAACTTGCATTCATTAAGCACGTGAAGCCTTTAAAAAGGCAAGTAGTTTATAGACTGTGTGCTGCATAAGATTCTTAATTGGTGTCTATCTCTCATTTCTCCTTAGGTCTGGGTGGAGCTGTTGGCTATATGTTGGGTGGTTTAGATTGGACACAGACCACTTTGGGACAGATTTTCAGATCGCAACAACAAGTCCTCTTCTTCTTTGCATCCATCATCTTTACTGTATCTGTTGCTTTACATCTTTTCAGCATTGAAGAAGAACAGTACAACCCACAACAAGATCACATTGATGATGAAACTGAGATACGATCTACTGTCAGAATAAATGACAGTCTCCCACCCCTCCCTCAGCTTGACTTGGCCCATGAGGAGGGACCTTTCTCTGCTTCAGTCTTCCGTAACGAAACCTCCTCGGTGCAAGATGTCGATCTTGACTTCCTGGATGTAAATATTGGGCGGAGCCAAAGTGACTCTGTTTTGCACATGCCTGATGCAACGATAGAAATTGAACCAGAATTGTTCTTTTTGCGGGACATTGAACCTTCTATTTTTCAGGACCAATATGATAATATGTGTCACTCTTTATCGAGTTTATCCAAAAGTAACAATCAGGAAGTTATGTCCAGGTTCAATCAAGTGTCTGCTTTGCTCAGGGAACATGAATCTGAAGATTATTCTCAGACTGATCTGAAGACTGATTCCAAAATGGCAAATGGACGTGCTGATGACCTTATCAATGGTAATATCAACCATAATACATCCAGAATTGAAATGAAACAATCGTCAACCTGCAACTCCATGCGCAGGCGAAGGCACATGTTCTACCGACAGCCATCTCACACTTTTTCATATTATGGCAAGATGGGTTCCCACCGTTACCGCTTTCGTCGTGCCAATGCCATTGTTCTCATCAAATCCTCACGGAGTATGAATGACCTGTATGATCTGCAGAAGAGGCAAAGACAGCGACAGAGACTGCGTAACCGGAGTGGTGTGACCAACTCGAGCAGTGATACAGAGAGTGAGGAAGGGGAGGCTGAGACTACTGTCAAGCTCCTATGGCTGTCCATGCTGAAAATGCCAAAGGAGCTGTTAAGGCTGTGTGTATGCCACCTTGTAACTTGGTTTGCAGTGATTGGAGCTGCGGTTTTCTACACAGATTTCATGGGGCAGGTTATCTATGGAGGAGATCCAAAAGTAAGTTAATGTAATGGAACCATTTTGTTCCTATTCATGCTTGATATTTTTATTATGCAAGGTATGCCCACTAAATCTATTTGGCTTAACAAATGAGGCAGAATGTTCAGTATTGTGGAATTTTAAAATCATTTAACCCTGTTAAGTACACTCTCTCTTAAAACTTGAGTTTAATCTAACCATCTAGAGCAGATGTCTTAAGCAAGCTCTGTAGGCGATTCCCTATTTTCTGCAATTGAGCCACACTGTAATTGCTTATCTATAATTTCCAATTTTGTTTATCTGTCACCTAGATTTAATGATCGGACACTTGTACACTGAGGAGGTCACTTGCGGTTTATTGTACCTGTACTGGCTTTGGACCAAACCACCGCTTAGTCCCAATATCCTGTAGTATCTTTCGCTAAGTGAATTTGTTGATCTTGTATTGAGGCACTGCTTATTCGGTGTTTGGAAGGAGAGTAATGATTTAATACTGTATGTTGTTTGGTCCTTGCTGAATTGCCAGGTGTCACTTTTTTTTTGTTCTTTTAAATAAAATTTGGTTCAAATCATATTCCAAAACTTCAACCTGAAATTATGCGTTTTTTCTTTTAACAGCAAGTTTAGAACTGAAGTCCAATAGAACTGTGTGCTCTAACTTTTAGAAGTGAATGAATCTAATTCATTGAAAAGAATGAAAATCTCAGGCATGGATTGACTACAGATAGGAATCCTAGCAATGACAGCACAGAACATTATACTATGGCTTATATTTTAACTGTAGCCTTTTGGTTTCTGAGACCTTTATTTCTTTGTCAATTACTCAGTAGTCCTTCAATACAGAAGCCATGCATTAATTTAATCAGCTGAAAGTGGAAATGGTGCATATAAAAAGAAAGTTTCCTTAACTTGAAACTGTGTTGCCTTGTTTGTAAATAAGGACTTGGAATATTTTAATGCTTTATCCAGATGATTTAGTTTCTTGCAGTTCGGAATCAGTACACCTTTTCATAAGGTATTATCATTCCATCCACATTTGTTTTTGTAACTACTGACTAATCCTTCAGCTTTTATTATTCCCAATGTTGTGGTATAAGGAAAGCCAGGGTATGAACCGTCATGATTTAAGAAAACAGGATGAAATACAAATGTGTGACTTGACCTTTACTTGTAACAATATCCAACCTTTAAAACATCAACTTAGTGTACTGTGAAAGAATTGATGGATAGACTTTGTGCTCAGCCACATTAAATGTACACCATTTTTTCATTCTACTTCATGGCAACCTTGATCTATTTTCTTACAGAAAGCAAATTGTTTTCTTATGAGTTTTTGACACTTGTTACATACAGCCAGTTGTATGTATCCTTTTTAAGAAAGAATTGACTTGCATCTGAAATATGGACTTTATAGATCAATTAATTTACTTTCTTTCTTTTCCTTTTTTTTTTCTCCCCCTCCCCACATGCACAAGAGTTTAAACTATATTGGTGAATTGGGAAAGCAGCAATGACATCTTTTGGATGTTACAGCCATTTGCAACCACAGTAGTCAAGTATTGTAGATTGACTGACTGAAAGCAGGAAAAGAGAACAAATGACTTAGGAACATAATTGTACTCCGATGTTAGCTGAAAACTCAAGAACTGGAAGCAATTAGAAATTAGTCCTTGGTATCTTCTTGAAAAAGCATTTGACGTGTCCAGTTTTTTGGCATAGTTGTCAAAATACCAGAAGCAGTCAATTTGCAGAGGGAATGGTTTAAGTAATGAATTACTACTTCTGTTTCCAAGTATCTGCCACTGAGAACTTCCAAACAGTGAATGCGTATCGGCTAAGTTTCCAAAATAAATTCTGAACTAATAAAAACTAGATAACGTGTTTGTCCATATATATGAAAAATGTGAATTAGCAATGCAGGACAATGATTTTGTTTAGAAAACAATATATTTTTACTAGGGTTTTAACATATTCTAAATCTTGGGCTTTAATGATAAAGATCAAACGTGCTTACAGCAGATCCTCTGAAGATTCACATTGTTCATATTCTTGATGTTGATGTGAACTCATTGCCCTAATGCTTACTATTCTCCTTTATATTATACTTGTCTCCCCCCACCCCCACTTCTTCTGTTTCATGGTCATAGGGAGTATGTTGTGCAAAGTTATAGTAGTGCATATTCAGCCATTGAACTGCAAACGTCAATACTTGTCACTTGTGTTGCTACTGCTGGCCTAATCGGATTCTTCAATTGTTTTTTTTTACAGGGTCCTCCCAATTCTACTGAGCTGTGGAATTATAACACTGGTGTACAGATGGGATGCTGGGGACTTGTTATTTATGCTGCTACTGCTGCCATCTGTTCAGGTTAGTAATGAGGCTAACTCTGCCAGAACCAGGCTGAAGTGTACCTTTTTAAAATTCAGTTCTTGTGCTAAACCCAAGGCTTTCCTGTAAGCTTGCCATAATCAATTGCATGAATCTGCCAGATATTGTTTCAGGAGCATTTTACTTCATGTGGTTTGACTGCTGTCAATTTAGAAGAATGATTGTTGCCCTGTCACCTTTCACCTACGGCTCAATGTGCTGGTCATGAGTGGAGATTTGTTGCTGTACTCTTTAGTGCTGACAGCTGTCTGAATGTTTTCATAACTGCACAGTATGCTGTCCCTTTATGTAATACAGCTTTTGGGAACCGTAAGTGTTATTTGAAGAGGATGTTTTAACATCGCAATGAACAACGAGGTATTGATTTTAGCAAAGCATGGCCAAGATGGTGCATAGAACAGCTAAGTACTAAAACCTCTAAGTGCAGTGTTCTAATTCATTAGTGTGCATTTTTCATACCATTTCAGAATTCAGTTAGTCCAATTCACTATTTTACAGCAATAGTTCTGATGCAGAATAATGAGTTTGAAGATTAAATAAAATTCCAAGTTTTAGCATTTTTTTAACATTTATTCTTTTGATGAGAAGTGGGTTTCCCCAGAAAAGCCAACGTTTGTTACCCATCACTTTTTTTGAACTGAGGGCCTTGCCTGCCAATTTTAGAGGGCCATTAAAAGCCACATTGCTGGAGGTCTGGAATGACATAGACCCAGACCTGGTAAGAATTGTGATTTCCTTTCCTAAAAGACTTTAGTGAACTAGATGGATTTTTAAGACACTTGCTATCATTACTGAAACTAGTTTTCAATACCAGATAAATAATAACTTTTAAATTGCAATTGCCATAGTGGGATTTGAATTGACTTCCCTGGAGTGTTTACCTGGTGCCTCTAAATTGCTAGTCCACTGATGTTTCCACTATACCATCTCCTAAGTGTACAATGCTTTTAGGAGAGCCAGGGAATCTCTTTAACGTAAACAAGCCATATTTATTTTGTTTCAAAGCCTCTATCAATTAGGAACTACTGACTTGCTGATTGAGATGTTTTGGAGAGAATCTTTTTGCATAAAAACATCTCCTCGTGTTATGAGCTTAGCATTTCACTGAACTGCCAGATATGTTGCTAAAGCTTCGTCTTCCACCCATCAGGACAAATACAATAATGCCAATTTTCCATCAATTCTTACTTTTTATACTATAAGAGAAAAAGATGCTGATTGGCTGACATCTCAACTGATTTGTTGAGATGTTGCTGTGGTAAAAGCATGAGGGTCCACTTATACTCCAGCTCCTTTGGTTGTTTATAATTAGCAGAGTACAGACTGTGTACTCGACCAGCCTACGTTTACAAAACGCGAGCCTAAACATCCGTTGGATGTGCTTCTATGATTGTTCAACCAATGCTGAATGCATTAAAATCATTCTTGGCTTCTCTTTTAAAATCTGTGGAGTTTGAAACATGGGTCATTTTGTGGTTGCTAGAAAGAATGTACGTCTAATTGTAAGGACCTGTTCTCTGAACAAAACATGAATATAGTCAAGACATATGCCTCTTTTTCTTAAATTTACCCAGGAGCTATTAGCTGAGGCTAATAGAGAAAGCAGCATCCACTCGCTGACTAATTCTTTGTAATTTTGGCATCTTCTTTTTTCCCCAAACAATCTTCAAAATCTGTACTACGAAGAGGTAACATATGCTTATGATGAGATGACTTTCTAAAAGGTACAGACTTCAGTGATTGCTTCTGGAAAATTTCTGGTTAGTCATAATGGTAATAAAATGTTAATGTTTAGTAATTATGCCTCTGTTCAATCAGTAAATTGTACTATATAAGTATTACCTAAAGGGCAAAATCCAACATTGTTGGAATGCAGATGTTAGTTCTCCATTTTGTTGGCTAGTTTGCACACGTATCACCTGAAGAGTTTGAGCATATATAGCAGGTTGAAATGTGCAATATAAGTTGATTTTAGGCAATTTCCCTTTTTTCCTTCATCCTGCAAAGGTTGGCAGGTATGAAAAGATCAGTAGGACTAACTTTTTAAGAGTTAGTACTGTCTGAATATTAAAGCCAAATTATTATCTGCTGAGAAAATAGTGACTTTAATTGTGCAGATGTTGAAAGCTTTTGATTAAAATCCATCTTCTCTCTATTCACAGCTATAAATCTATCTTGTTTGTTTTCATAAATTTCTATTTTTTTTGTTCCTGGCAGCCATTTTGCAAAAGTACCTGGACAACTACGATTTGAGCATTAAAGTTATCTACACACTGGGAACACTGGGATTTTCAATTGGTACTGCAGTGATGGCTATTTTTCCAGATGTTTATGTGGCAATGATAATGATCAGTACCATGGGAATAGTGTCTATGAGTATCTCGTACTGTCCGTATGCTCTTCTTGGGCAATACCATGAAATGAAAACAGTAAGCAGCATATTTAAGTTGTTTGTTTTTTTGTTTTTGCTACCACACTTTTAGAATTGTAGTACTTGGCAGAGAGTATTCCTGAAATAGCTTAATCTAAATGTGGAATTCAAATTGGAGTACAGTTAATTAGATTTGAGAATTAAACAGTTAATTGAGAGGGCATTTGTTTTTGAATAGATTGCTACCTACTGTCAATGTTTGTTTGAACAGCCAGCGCAGAGACAATTGGCCAAATGCACAAACAGTTCTGTGATTCCATCGAATTCTGTGCTGTAATGGCACACGTTTCTCCAGACTAGATGTACTGAATGACATGTAATGCGATTGAGCATTTGAACCTCTGATTTAAACAGATTGCTGAGTGCTTCCTGGTTTATGGTGGTGCATTTATGAATAATTTAATAACTCAATCTAAATTTGTGTAGACAAATATTCTTGCTTGTAGAGCACAGTTGGTGGGCTTGATCCATCTAGTATTTAAAACTTCAGAAAATTATTGGAAAGATTCTCGGAGACAGGATTTATAGGCATTTAGAAGCAAATGGACTTATTAGCGATAGACCGCGTGGTTTTTTGTGGGGGAGTTATGCCTCACTAAATTGATCAAGTTTTTTGAGGTGACAAAGCTGATGGCAAAGTGGTGGTTGTCCGCATGGACTTCAGTAAAGCCTTTGACAGCATTCTTCATGGCAGACTGGTACCAAAGGTGAAGTCACATGGTATCAGGGGTAAGCTGGCAGGATGGATACAGAACTGGCTTAGTCATAAGACTCTGGTAGCAGTGGAAGGATGTTTTTCAGAATAGAGGGCAGTGAGTATTGGTGTTCCACAGGGATCAGTGCTGGGACCTCCTGTTCGTCTACATAAATGAATAGGAGGAAAATGTAGCTGGTCTAATTTTATTGTCTGCAAACTTTAGTAAAGATTGGAGTTGCGGACAGTGAGGAGGATTGTCAGAGGATACAGCAGGATATAGATCAGTTGGAGGAATGGGTAGAAAAGTGGCAGATGGAGTTTAATCTGGACAAGTGACATGATGCATTTTGGAAGGTCAAATATGGGTGGAAATTATACAGTGAATGGCAGAACACTTAGCATTGATATGCAGAGAGATCTGGATGTGCAGGTCCACAGATCACTGAAGGTGGCAGTGCAGGTAGGTAAGGTAACTTTTTTAAAAAAGGCTTATGGCATGCTTGCCTTCATTGGAAGGGGCACTGACTATAAGGATAGACAAGTTATGTTGCTGCTTTATAGAACTTTAGTTAGGCCACACTTGAAATGTTGCAAATAGTTCTGGTCCCCACAACTAGAAGGATCTGGACGCTTTGGAGCAGGTACAGAAAAGGTTTACCAGGATATTGCCTATTTTAGCTATGAAGAAAGGTTGGATGGGCTGGGTTTGCTTTCACTGGAACGCAGGAGTTCTGTGATTCAGTCCAGATGTGCTGTAATGCCACATAGAAGTTTATAAGATTGTGAATGGCATGGATAGAGTAGAAAGTATAAGGCTTTTTCCCAGGGTGGAGGGGTCAATTACTAAGGGACACAGGTTCAAGGTGTGAAGGCGGTTGGGGGGGGGGGAACTGTTAAAAGATGTGCAAGGCAAGTTTTTCTCAAAAGGTGCGGAGTGCCAGGAATATACTGCCATAGGTGGTGGTGGAAGCAAACACAATAGCAGCATTCTAGAAGCATCTGGACGAATACACAGGAAGGGAATAGAGGGATACGGATCCTGTAAGTGAAAGCTGTTTTAGTATGAAACGGCAAAAATGGCTGTGCAGGCTTGGAGGGCTGAAGGGCTTGTCCTTTGTTCTAACATGTTTGACTTCTTTTAAAATTTTTTAATTTTTCAAATCAATGCTTATTAATTTGTATTTTTATTAGATGAATCTTCATTATCTAGTCTAGTAAAACTTTGTCCTTTTTTCTTTTGCAGTATAGGAATCACAGTCCTGGAAACTCCAAGAGAGGCTTTGGTATAGATTGTGCAATCCTGTCCTGCCAAGTTTACATTTCCCAAATACTGGTAGCATCAGCACTGGGCAGTGTGGTGGAAGCTGTTGGTTCAGTTCGAGTCATCCCTGTTGTGGCATCCATTGGTTCATTTCTTGGCTTTTTGTCTGCCTTATTTCTTGTCATATATCCTGAGAATCAGCAGGACCCAGGAGAGGAAGAGAATAGAGAGACTCTTATGGCATTTTCAGAAACGGGGGACAAAAATACAGAGAAGCCAGTTCTTTTGAAGCTGTCTCATAAAGGCACCATCTCTGAAGTGGAGATTGAATCAGCTGTGTGAAGTGGCACATTAGCAAAGCATTCCAGAAATTGCATGATCAGGCATATGCAATGAATTTCCTCTCCTCCATTCTCTTCTGCAGACTTAACCCACCTTGCAGAAAAAAAAACAAAAGCTAACTTAGGTTCTGGTAAAAGTTTGCCCCAGCAATCTGGTATTGTGTACTATGAAATAAAATGGTTTCACGGATGTTTTATTTTTAAAATAAGTTTTAAGTGAAGACTTTTCAGAATATTTTACTGTGTTTATGTACCAAAGTCCATTCAGAAAAAAGTTGCCTTGGTCTAATGTACAAACATACCATTTTGTAGCTAGTAAAGCTTTTCTATTTTGCCACATCAATCTATTTCCTAAAAAGCTATTTTGAATAGTCTCCATTAATATTTCTGACACAGATAGGACTAAATTTTTACAGTTTCAATCTTGGCATAATTGGAGTTTTAAAGTAATAATTTTGAACAGTAAGATGCCATTGATTTCTTGTGGAAATAAGTTATATTTTCTAATTATTTTCCTGGGCAATTTAAATTTGTTTTCAAATGGCATGATGCAGATGGTTTCCCTTTTTTACATGTCATCTTTAATCAGGTAAGCCACAAACATTTTTCTGCTTCCTAGATTTTATAGGAAGAAAATCAGTAGCCACATTTTTCTTATGCCAGATGAACATTGTTAACTGGTTTTACTTAATAACAATTGTGGCGAATGAGTTTTGTGAAATGGACAGCTGTCTTTAGACATGTAGAATGTAGTATTAAATAGCTGAGAACTGTTCTGGCTTGTTTTCTCCGATTAGTCAACTAGAAAATTGACCTCTTGCAATGAGCCTATAACCATTAATACCTTATTTTAGGGAACATCTGTCCAGTTTTTCCTTTGTTTCAGATTTTAAGAGAAATTTGTATTGCAATACCATCTTTTTATCTTTACTGGAAGAGGTAAAGATCAAACATCTGATGTGAATGCCAACACGATTGATTAGTTCAGCAAGACTAAGTGAAGAAATTGCCCAGAAAATACAAATGGTTTACAAGTCCTTACTGAGTTGTGTTTTTTTTTTTAAAAAAAAGAAAAAAAAATTTGCTATCTTTGAATTTCTTGTATGCTGCTAGCTAGCTGAATTGTACGTGTTTTAATTGTCTAGGTTCTGTTCATCAATGTCCATAGGCATGTTACAAGTTTAATTCTACAGGATGGGACTGTTCCTGCTATTTTTCTGTCTTTCAGACTGATGGAGCTTCTTCACTACTCCCAATATGGATTCAGAACTTTAATGTTGTTTGAGACTGCACTTCAAACTTTGGTGTTTCCAACTGGCAGTCCCAACACTAGTGTAGAAGTAATAGTTTAACAATTCTCTTTCTATTGAGGAAATCCATTTAATGTCTGAAATTGTATCTATAGAAAAACTGGTTTGAGTAGCCCAGTTTAAAGTTGTTTTTTATCACTGAGTGAAAGTTCAAGCAACACAATGTCAGTCTTTTTGAAAATTAATCTGGGGCCAAAGAAGCCTGAAACTAATTGTGGCCTAGTTTTTGATGATACAGTTGAGGTGGGTTGAAGTTTGCTTATTACTACCAGGAAAGGACAGCAAAATGCAGCATAAAATAGCCATTTCTGTTGCACGAGCTCTTCATCTTGGAGTAAAAGAGAACTACTTGTAAAACTTTGATTATTTTCAGGATTAATCTGGGCTGCGTCCACTGAAACATCTTCCTCACTCTGCTAAGGAAGAAAGAAAAGCTGAGACTAACCACTAACTTTGTTTTCTTTTTGTTGCGTGCAGACGAATCAAACAAATGTTGCAATAATTTATCTACCTACCTTTGTAAAATAGACTTCTGAACACATGCAGAAACTGCTGTTTTGTCATCAGGAAAACAGTGACATTGTTGGTAAAATCTCTGTGTTCTAAAGTTCATTATTAGTACTTGAAGTGTGGATGCAGTGCAAGGATGTCTGTTTGGAACAAAGGCACCATTTAGCCAAAGCAAATAGACGACAACAAATGACAAAAGGACATTTTTCAGAAATTCTTACAGTTCAACACGTTCCTGTATCACCATGATGTTGACTATTAAAACAAAACTCTGAATGTAATATGTGGTTCTTTTGAAATGCTATGGCAATGCAACAGAAATTGCACACAATTCTACATCAAAAAAGACTTTTAAACATGTTTTTGGTGTCCTATTTATTTTGCAATTGTATTGGATTTTTTTGTATTTTAAGATACTACTGACTGTAACAGACCCAATCTACCAAAATGCCAACTTGTGTTGGGTGCAGTTTATATTTGAGTTCTTGTAAACAGGTATCTTCCTTGAATTTATAAAAGTTAGTTTTGTTGTACGGGCATAAATCTGGTTTTTGAGCGTGTCAAAGTTATAAATCTGTAGCTAACTTTTATGTCCAGTAAAAGTGGAGCTACTAACTGTTCAAACTTGACTTTGAAGATGATGGGAATGTGCAGTATTTCATGAATACTCGATGCAATTTGTTGTAACATCTGTTGTATGACAATGGGATAGAATGGGGAAGAAAGCTATTCAAATACAAATTTAAATTTATTTATTGACAATGAATACATCTTGTTTTAATAGTATGACTAAATCACTTTACTTAATACAAAAAATTGAGCTTGGTCACAGCACAGTAAAATGTGCCCAACTGACACTGATCAATGTAGAATCTTTGTGAACAGGTTATAAGTATGGTTGATGTTTTCTATTCTGCACATTTCAGAACTACAGTTAAAGAAATTGTATTGTGAGCATGTTTACTGTCTTTTAAATCCTGAATTATGGAGAATGGCCTGCTTGTTTGCTGTTTTAGTTAACATGCTGCAAAGATCTTGTATTTGACCCATCCATAAACAACTGAAATATGCCAAAATGAGAGTGATGCTCCAAATTTGCACAGCATGTAAACTGTATTTCTCTTCTGTATATTTGAGGTTCACCAAAATTATCAATGTTAATAGGTTAATGGTTTTAGGAGGCTACTGTCACCTTGTAATTATTGAACTGCACTTAAATGGAATGGTGGAGGAAATGCATCAAATGTCTCCAATATATACCAATCGCTTCTACAAAGGCATCTCATTTTAAATATGGTTCCATAGTGAACTGGCCAAAAGACGACTGCTTTTTTTAATCAACTTATTAAGTTGGGGCACTAGTAGCTCTTGCTGAGTGGAAATATTAAATGTGTTAAACACATGCTTTGTTTAAAAAGGGATGAAAGCAAAGAACATTTAAGATAGAATGAAATGAGTGACTTAATGGCATAGACTTTATTTCTGTATTTTCAAGCTTTTTTTTGTTGGAGGGATTGAAAATGAGTCATTGCATGAAACAGTGACTGTTAAGCACTTTCCATTTTAACTGTGTACTCAATTGATTTTAAAAGAAAAGTAGAAAAATTCTATTCTTCCATATAGTGTTTCAATATATTCTATTTCATGAAGAATAAAAATTCCAATGAACATATCTTTGTCAGAGTGCACTTATTTTTACTGTAGTGTGTTTGTTACACAGTTCATACATATCCTTGACCAGTACAAATTTGCTTTAAATTTGAGGTTTGCTTCCCTGTAAATTTTATCTCTTGATAAATTTGCTGTAACTGCAAATAAACATCCACTGCATTGTGCAATGATATGAAAATGTACTGGCAGTTGACCTGAATGCAAAACTCAAATTGCCCCATCAACTTTTTATTCTGCATTTTATAACCTAGAGTAATATTTTGCAAGATGCCAAAGTTCAGATTTGTAGCTATTGACTAGTTCCACTTATCTGAGCACCATGATCATGATCATGCTCATGATTGCTTGCTGTAATTTATTTTCCCTTGAATTGCAGCAGTTTTGCAGTTGTTAAATAATTCTGCTAGATGCTTGTTGGCTGAGGTTTTGTTCTGTATTCTCTCTTCACCGTTTATTGTTTATTTCTCCTTTTCTCCTCTGTCTTTCATTCCCCTTCACTTGCTATCTTCTACTTCCCATTTTCATATTTAATTTTGCATCTTAACACTCTCTCAAAGGCTAGGTAACCAGACATTTTTGATAACCCCATGCCTTTTTGGTTGCATTGCATAGCCAATTCAACTGTGTGCGCATCTTACCCTTGTTTGTTCTTAACCTGGGGGGGGGGGGGGTGTTGGAATAATGATATTCTCTTTGAAGTGGACCATTTGAGCCTACTCTGTATAACCCTATTGTAATTAAACATATGGACTTCTTTGCTTCTACCAATGAGCAGCTCTTGCATGGAGCAAAATAAAACCTTCCAAGATTAACAAAAATCTCCAAGGGAATTCTTGCTCCATCGAGTGTTAACAGTGAATTTGGTCATTGCGCAAGTGAGCAATTTGTTCTACAGGTTAATAACCCTCCCTGCAGTTCTAAAAAAAAACCACCTGAAATCATTACATGTAGTTCTCCCTAACATTTCTCATTCAAATAGTTTGCTTGCACAGCCTTGGACCCTATGTTATTTTTAAACTGTGCAATCAAATGTCCTTGAAGGCTGCACCCTTTTTTTTGTGGGGGGGGTGAAAAAAAGGGCCTAAATTTGCTGACCAATTGTGAGGATGAAGGGCTGTTAAACAATCTAACAATCTAATTACATCACCATCCCAAAACTTTTTCTTTGGTTACTGTTTCATCCCTCGTGCATCATCCAAGACCGAATATTAATATAGCTGAGGTTGAAGTGCTCTACAAGTCATTTTTTTTTTTGTAGAATCATTTATCATTAGCAAACAGGCCATTCACCTAATTGTGCACATGCTGCCGTCTGCAAGAGCAGTTTGGCTGGTCTTCCCCTGCCCTTTCCCAGAGCTCCAGTTGCATCTTTAGCTATTTTCTATATCAACCTGTGTTTATGTTATTCGGCACCTCTGGAGCAGGTGGCACTTCAACTTAGGTCTGCTCGTACACTACCACTGTACCATAAGAAACCTCATTTTTGTTTATCTCTTTGCATCCGTGCATCATATAAACACTATTCCCCATTACCACTGAAATCAGACCATCTAGACAGAATATAAACTCTGATACTGATATGGAGTAGTCAGATTTGTGAATTATAGTATGCAGGTTTTTTTTTAATGTTGCACTATCATGTGATCTCCCAAGTCATTTTTAGATCATAGAATCCCTAACAGACTGGAAACAGGCCATTCAGCCTGTTGTGTTACACTGACCCTCAAGCATCCCACACAGACCCACACCGACCCACACCCTAACCTATCCCTGCAACTCTGCATTTTCCATGGCTAATCCACCTAGCCTGCACATTCCTGCACACTGGGCAATTTTTAGCCTGGCCAATCCACCTAACCACATCTTTGAGCTGTGGGAAGAAACCCACACAGACTTGGGGGGGGGGGGGGGGGGGGGCCATGCAAACTGCAGAGTTGCCAAGGGTGGAATTGAACCCAGGTCCCTGATGTTATGAGGCAGCAGTGCTTGCCACTATGCCACCCTGGTGCAAAGGGCATGGACTTGGGAAACAATTCCCTACACTTTAGAATGATTGACATGTTTTTAAACTGCCTCTGTTTTTGAACATTTGCTAAAGAAAGAAAAACAATATGACAATGGGGAAAGATACCTGCTTTCCAAAAAATCTAGCATGCTGTCTAGGATTGATACACTTCAACAGCACAACAGCCATATGAAGCAGAATCACAGCCGGTGTGTTTTATTTTGGAACATGGGTAGAAGTATTGACCTTTTGCAATCTCATTGAATGGCGTTAATGCTCCTGATTTGGAATTTTTTTTCCCACATTGTGTGGCGTAGTGTTACATGCACATTCCAGGTCATATATCAAACCCTTGGGTCACAGCACAACTAGTTCTACAGTAATGTTTTAAAATTCTTAGCCACCTAGCTTTTGGCAGTCCATTTGCTTTAATACTTATGTATCTGTCACTCCCTTACCTCCTTGGCTGCAGGAAAGCCCGATCTTATACTATTCCTGTTGCACTCTGTCAAAAACACCCACTACTCCTGCATCATTGTGAAAAGTTTATTCCTCTACTGGCATCCTGGTGATCTCCTTTTCCGCTATCCACTACACCCTCTCCTACAAGTGGCTTCTTTGTCACTAAGATTTGGGACCCTCTGCACTCATCCTGTTTCTGTACCTCTCTAAATTACCTCCCATTTCATCCCTTGCATTCTTGAAGCTAAGTTTGTCTGAGAGTTACCTCTTGCTCCCTTGATTCTATTCTGACTAAACTTCACTTTATGCCCCATGCAACTTAATATTTTAAAGTGATCCATTCATTCATGTCATACCTAATATTTCAGAACAGCTGTCATCAGTCCTTCCTGCATTAAAAAGCATCTTTGCAAACTTTCACAACCTTCATTCAACTCGAGGCTGGGTTTTTTTTGACCACTTAAATCTGTAGCATTATTTTTAGGCCTGGATGGATACCTAATTTGATTTCAAAGCATCAAATCATAGAAGATGGAGTTTGTCTTTGCTATAACACATCATCCTTCTGTGTCCTGCTTTCTGTAAGAACTTTTGGCAGTCCTCCTGTAATGCCTTTGTTGTGTTGTATGATTAAGTGGAATTTAATTGACTTAGTTCTTTTCTGACCAGTATAATTGCAGTGTAACACAGTAAATATTAGCAATATCTACAACATTCCCCTTGTTTACATCTAGAGGCACCTAGGGATGGGTAGTAAATGCTGGCCCACCCAGGAAGTCCTACATCCAGAGTAAATTTTTTTTTATAAATCTTTACCTTTTTTTTTCTCATGTATACATTGCCCCTTAGCAACAACATTCCAAGTCAGTTGGTAAACTTCAACATGTTGAAAGACTACATTTGAGAGATCCTCCTACCTCCGAGGCAATCCTTGTGCCTACCTCCACCCCCTCCTGGCCTCTCTGCTTCTCCCTAGTGTTTCCCTGTCCAGTTCAAAATTGTGTGTGTCATCACATATTATTTGTACATGATGATGTCAGTGCCTGGATGTGTGTTCATAAATGTTGTGAAATCTAGAAGTGGTTCACTGCCTCATAATGAGACATCAGCCATTCAGAACTGAAATGAGAAATTCCTTTGAAGGTTTGTAAATCTTGGGAGCACACTGTCCCAGACAGCTATTGATACTCATTGAGTACGGTAAAGACATGTCAATATTTGTAATTACAGGATATGGGCGATGATTGGTCAGTAATAAAATTGAACAATGGTGCCAAATGGTCAATTTCAGTTCTTGTGTCTTTCTTTCCTAATTCCTCTGTTCTTCCAATGACAACGCTGAATGTTTAGATGTTCACCACAAGCTTATCAAAACCCTAACTAAGTTCTACCCACGGTCATTATTTATTTGCCCAGAAAATTTTAACTTGTGATGTGTAGAATTATGCTGCCTAGGCCCTTCTGAGAATGTCTCCAACACTGACCAACACCCTACTGCTGCCCAATCTCAAACATAGAATCTGGCTATGCAACAATCAACAGTAGGAGCTAAATGTGATATTCTGAGTGGAATCTGACCAAGTTGCCAAATAATTGAAACATCACTTCATTTTTCAATTAAAACCCATTAAAGACCAAAATTTCATTAATTTTTTCCACTACTTTCTGTAGCAGGCTTTTCATGATTTTGTGCAAATGTAAATTTTTTGCAAACACTGCCACCGGACAACATTCCTAGACTCTCTCCATTTTAAAAAAAAGTCCCTTTTGCACTTTGAATTGAGGAAGAGAAAATCTAACATTTCACGTTAAAGCGATCTGTCCTAGTTCTAAACATGTACTTGGTCCCTTTGTAATGTCCTGCTCTGATCTACAGAATTGACTATGGCTCCCTAGTTGTCATCTAATATTCAAATTTACAGAACTCATTTAAATCCTTAGCTTCTACAGCGGTGCACATAAACTTCCCAAAGGTGTTAAATGTAGTCCCAGAGAAAAATTATAACTCATGGAATAAAAGGGAAAGTAGCAATGGGGATCAAGTTGACTGAGGAATAGAAAGCAGAGAGTAATAGTTAATGGGCATTTTTCAGGGTGGAAGAAGTTTGGTGGCGGTGGTGTTCTCCAGGGGTCAGTTCAAAATTTTGCTTTTCCTCATTTTTATATATAGAAATAAATAAAATTATCTAGATCTTTGCGTGTAGGGAATAATTTTAAAGTTGGCAAACTGAGGACAGTGCAGAACCCCCAAAACAACAAGCAGATGAAGATCAACGCTGAGAAGTGAGAAGTAATATATTTTGATGCAAAGAACATAAAGTGACTGCCACCATTCTAAAGGGTGTGCAAGAGCAGAGAGACATAGGAATGTATGTACCCAAGTCATTAAAGCACAGGTACAAACAGCTGTTAACAAAGCATGCATACAGTATTCTAGACTTCATTAGTCTAGTCAGAGTGCACAAGTAGTGAGGTTCTTGCTCAGAATTGATATATCCTACTTAGCTGGAGTTGTGTACAATTCTGGATGCTAT